GAAACAACACTGGCCTGTTGTTCTCAGGGGCATCATTTTTTTTTTTCATTATAAAATTTTAATTCTAGTATAGTTATATTAGTTTCAGGTGTACAACAGAGTGATTAAACACCTCCATACAATATCCAGTACTCATCATGACAAGTCCCCTCCTTAACCCCATCACCCATTTCACCCAACCCCCACAGCCCTCCCCTTTGGTAACCATCAGTGTGTTCTTTATAGTTAAGAGTCTATTTCTTAGTTTGTCTCTCTCTCTCTCTTTTTTTACTTTGCTCATTTGTTTTGTTTCTTAAATCCCACAGGAGGAAGGCATATGCTATTTGTCTTTCAATGACTTATTTCACTTGGCTTTATAATCTCTAGATCCATCCATGTTGTTGCAAGTGGCAAGATTTCATTCTTTTTTATGGCTGAGTAATATTCCATCCACTCCACCCCCCCCACGCCCGCCTCTTTCTCTCAGGGGCCTCATTTTTGAAGGGCTTTCTAGAAATTGAGCTTAGATTTTTACCCTGAGGGTAAGGAGAGAGGTGCTGAGGTATCTGAGGTGGAAAGATGTGCATGACTACAATGTGGGGAATGGACTGCTGCCAGGAGAGCCTGAGGCAGGAGTGAAGGGGAGAAAAATTGTCCAGGCAAGAAATAATGAGGATCTTAGGGTTGGCTCTGGCTCTTCACTGCCTCTCTGCTGTCAGTTACTGAGGCAAAGGCCTGGTGGGAGGCAGCATAGTGTTCTCTCCTAGGAGAACACCTTCTAAAAATGGTGTTTTAGGGAGAAGAAAAAAAAAAAAAGAGTCCTGGATTTGTCCCCTGGATGACCTCAGGTTAAATTAAGAAGATATATTTGTTAAGCATTTACTAAGTGCCTGGCACCATTCAGAGATGGTTTTAAGGACATTTTTATAATTTACTCAATCTTTTCATACCTCAATTTATTCATCTGTGAAAGAACAGTAATGCCTAACTCATGTGTTCTTTCGAGGATTAAAAGTGAGTTCATATACATGAAAAGGCTTTTTAGATCTTCCACATTTAAAAATGTCAGTTTTCTAATAACCACACCTTCTCACTTTTTTTTTTCTAAATCTGACAATGCTCTGAGTATTTTCTTTCCAGCCCCCATTTAGTAGAGACTCCACATACTGATCAAGACAGTTGTTAACTACTGCATGGTAAGACACAAAACATGAAAGCCATGAGAATTCTTTCCTACTAGAGCACTGCACAGATGGGGTCAGCCATCTAGAATAATCACTGTTTCAGGGACACTAGCTTATCCGATTACACTCCTACCTGAGAACAGTTCTAAGAAGTTAATTCAGTACCTGCCTTCAAAATACAGCATGAGGAAGACCTTCTCAGTATCCTCCCGGAACAACTAGAAGCTTCACGGATGCTCTGAAGAAAATGATGTCCGGGCATTCTATGGGCCGTAGGCTAGCAGAGTTTCTATTCAAACCCCATCAAAAATGGGGATGACCAACTACGTGAATGGTAGTTTATAGCCACTAACCATCAGCCGATACACATGAGCACAAAGAGAAAGCAACAACAAAAAAATAAGGGTTATTTTTATGTTCAAAAGTGCTAATTTTATAGTAAATTTAAAAAGTCGATTAACATATCAAAGGCATGGAAAAGAGTGGGAGTATGAAAATCTAAGTTTTTTTTTTTTTTTTTTTAAGATTTTACTTATTTATTCGAGGGAGAGAGAGAGAGAGGAAGAAGCTCCCTGTTCAGCAGGGAGTCCAATGTGCAGCTCAATCCCAGGACCCTGGGATCATGACCTGAGCTGAAGGCAGAAGCTTAACTGGCTGAGCCACCCGGGTGCCTCCTAAAAAAATCTAAGTTTTTAATTCTTTTCAAATGCAGGATTAACTTTATGGGAAATAAAAATAAAACTTGAGCAACAAACAAAAAGATAGGGAAAAAAATGTGATGTGTGTACCTTCACTGGATCATTTAAACAAGCCAAATATAAAAGACATTTTGGGATAATCAGCATAACTTGAATACGAACTGGGTATGAGATGATCATATGGAATTATCATTAGCTTTGTTAGGTGTGATGACCGTATTGTGGTTATGTAAGAACATTTCCTCAGTTTATAGAGAGATACACTGAAATTTTGGAGACTGAAATCCCATGATGTATGTTATCTGCCTTAAAATACTTAAACCACAACCCGGGCACCTAGGTGGTACAGACAGTTAAGCATCCAACTCAGTTTTGACCCAGAGTCATGATCTCAGGATTGTGAGATTGACCCCCACGATGAACAGCCCCCTCAAGCCCTGCATTGGGCTCCACGCTCAGCACAGAGTCTGCTTAAGAGTTTCTCTCCCTTGCCCTCTGCCCCCACTCTCATATGCACACTCTTTCTCTTTCAAATAAATAAATAAATCTTAAAAAAAAATACTTCAGCAACAACAAAGAACAACATCGATGAGACAAATCACAAAATGCTAGCAAGTGATGGGGGTACAGTATACTATTCTCCCTACTCATCCATACATTTTTAAGTATTAAGGAACGAAAACGCGATAAAATATCCAGTCCATCCACTGAGTTGTTTTAAGGTTGGTTGCCTGAGTTAAAGCAGAAAATGGTCCAGACCAAATATGTCTTGAGGTCAGAAAGGCACCTGCGGAAGTCTTTTGTCCTGTCTTTGTGGGACAAAGTGGAGACTGTGGGCAGATGAGTGCTTCGCTCACGTTTTCCTGGCAGGCTACCCAAACTCCCTGGAGGGAGTTGCAGTCCAGGAAGGGAGCAGGGGACCTGTGAGATCATGTGGAGGAGGCCTGAGGCCACCAAGGAAAACAGGCAACACCAGTGACCTGCCCTTGATGATCTAGACCTACAACCACTACAGGAATCAAGGAGCTCATTACATAATATAAAAAAATCAAAAGGAAGGGACTTCCATGATCCCTCACGTATGAGGGAATTCTTACAGTCTCCCACACTGTGGGCAATGCTTTCCATTGCTGTTTTGAACAACAAAGTACAAATTATTGCCAATTTTAGAAGCTTGCAGAGGTCACTGCCAAAAACCCTTTATAAAGAAGGGGAAAAATTATAATGTGGTGATCATTCCTGGGGGTATGAGCTCAAAGTGCAAGCACTGGATGTGGTTGAAAATGAGCCTTTAATTTTAAACGTCACTTAACAAAGCAGTCTGGCAACTGGTTGCTTTGTGGAGATGTAGACATTTTCGCCTTCTAGAAGGATGGAAATAGGCACTGGGAATATGATTTTTAGAAATGGTATCACAGAAGGATCAAAAGGGAGCTTGTGTCAAAAACAGCTTCGATGAAGTGAAGTGGTATCCAGTAACTTTACAAAGTGGTTCTAATGATGATCAGCGTTATAATGTTGGAGACAGACTTGAAGCGTGTGAATAAACATTGTTTCATGAAATAGGACAGGCACATTCCTTTCAAACAGATGGCAAGAGTACTCCTGAGGTGGGACAACCAGCTTGAAGAAGTCCTACGAGGTAAGGACCTATAGGGTAAGGCTAGTATGGAACAAGTATCTCTGAGTATATGATGAGCAGCCCTGTGGAAGACAGAGTCGATTTACTTTGTATTTTTAGAGAACAGAAGTCAAATGAATGGATGGAAGTTACAGGGAGACAGGTATCAGCTCAACAGAAGCAAGTATATTTATGTATTTAAGGCAATTAGATCAGTCCAAGATTGAATTTGAAAAGTTATATGCAAGTAAAGGCTCTCTGACCAACTGTGAGTAAGGAAATGGAGGTAAATTGCCTTTATGGACATTTTAATGGTCAGATTCTATTATTTTATCATATTATTTCCAAACTAGAAACACACTTTAAGTTGATAAATATATTTATTTTTGAAGATATTCATTTCTCCCATATTTTTTTAAAGGATCACTCTCTGGTAATCATTACACTAAGTTCTGTGGGTGATGAAACATACATAAAAATGAAGATTGTCGGGGCACCTGGGTGGCTCAGTGGGTTAAAGCCTCTGCTTTCGGCTCAGGTCATGATCTCGGGGTCCTGGGATTAAGCCCCTCATCGGGCTCTCTGCTCAGCAGGAGGCCTGTTTCTCTTCCTCTCTCTCTCTCTCTCTCTCTGCCTGCCTCTCTGCCTACTTGTGATCTCTGTCTGCCAAATAAATAAATAAAATCTTTAAAAAAAATGACAATTGTCAGAAGTTTATGATCAAGGCAGGAGATACACACATGAATAACCCATACCACGCATGCATACATGTTAACATGTAGCCAACTTGTGTAACATACTGTTCCTGGGCTGTGGCTTTGTCACAAGGTTCAAGAGGGTATGTAATGAGGGCATGATCCAGTTAAATTTTTCATCTTGGCTATGGAGTCTCTTAAGTTCCCTGTCTCTGGTCTAGGCTATCTGCCCATCCAAGAGTAACTGATTCATCCATAGTGACGATATCAGTCAAATATTTTGGCTTTGTTTTGAAGCCTTTCTTGGCTTGGACTCAAGAGACTGGACAGTGTCTTCCAATTTCCCAGCTAGTTCTCTCAAGTCTTCTCAAAAGCTATTATACAAAGAAGGAACAATGGGAATGATCCAATAGGTCTTCCATATGCAATACAGAGTAAAGCAACAATGAAAGTACGCAAAACCACTAGTTGCTAAATTCTATCCTGGATCCTGAGGAGATTAGTCAACAGTATGAATTCAGCAATTTGGATGCAACCCAGTAGAGAAAAACAATATCAGATTTGTAAGTACTAAAGAGATACAACATTTTGGTATATGAAGCAAGAACAGTGGAGGAAAAGGTAAAACATACTTTTGCCCTATGATGACATTTAAAGATGTGAATATAGGGTGAATATTAAAATGAACTCACGGCATTTGATGAGGTCACTCTTGAACAATTTTCAAAGACTCACAAACAGGAGCTATATAAACTTTCATTCAAAGTTTTCCTCACATAATTTGATAATACAAGTTTTCTTGGTTCTAATCTGAGAAGCTGACCTGAGATTGTTGGAAAAGGATGCTCTTCTCTGGGTTTATGCCACAGGCAAGAAGAACAGCTGTCATGTCCAAGATGCTCTGCCGGAGGACGGCCGGGTCCTGGGGGACGGTGATGGAGTGTAGGTCAACGATGCTGTAGAGCACCGAGCTGTACTCTTCCTGCAAACTCACCCAGGTCTCAATGGCTCCCAGGTAATTGCCGAGGTGGGGGATTCCTGTAGGCTGAATGCCTGAGAATACTCGCTTCACAGCATCTTTCTGGAAGAGAGGAAAACAAGCATTTGCTTTCAAGGCAGACTCCATGAATCCCATGGCCATGTTACCATAGCAACGATGACTAGTTCTACTTTTTACAACTGCAATCTGACAGTCATCCTTATGCATTTATTTTGCGCCCATGCAAAGCTCTGTATCAGGTGCTACTAGGGACGGAAAAGGATATTTAAAATGTGGTTGGATTTTTCGTTGTTGTTGTTATGTCCAGTTAGCCAGCATATTGTACATCATTAGTTTTGATGTAGTGTTCAACGATTCATTAGTTGAGTATAACACCCAGTGCTCATCACAACACATGCCTTCCTTAATACCTATCACCCGGTTATCCCATCCCCCCACGCTCCTCCCTTCTGTAATCCTCAGTTTGGTTCCTGGAGTCCAGAGTCTCTCATGGTCTGTCTCCCTCTCTGAGTTCTGGATTTTTTTTTTTTTTTCACTCAGAAACGTATAAATAAAAGGCACATGAGAAAGTCTGTAACCCCAAGCAATGCAATCTAACTGGAGATAGAGGATAGGTTTACAAAGAGATACGTAACAGTACAGCATGGCAACATGATCAAAATCAGTTCGCTGACATAAATAGCGGGGTGCAGAAGGCATTCCCAAGAGGAAAAGATGACTGTGGATCTGGGGGTCACTGACAAAGACTTCAGACACAGAATCAAATTTCACTGGAGATTAAAGGGGCTTGAGGGTTTTACATGTGATTTCACTCATTTTGTAGTTAAGGTAAGGAAGTCAACAGCATTAGAGATGAAGGCTACTGCTATGTACTTAATTCAGTTTTCTTTAGAAATCATTGCTGATATTACAACTTAGTGTGCAGGCTCTTGGGCTAGAAATTAGAAAACCTACACACTATTTCTAATATTGCTTCTTGATCAAGTTACTGAACTTTTTTGTGCTTCAGTTTCCTTTTGCTTTTGTTAAATCATTCTTTCACTTCTTCAAAGGGAGTTTTTAATTCTGTATGCTTTTTTAAAATCATAAAACCATTTTGTTAAGGCATGTTTTCCTACTGGTTTGTACTTTCTCTTTTTTTTTTTTTAACCAATTTTTTTTTTTTTAAAGATTTTTTTTTTTATTTATTTATTTGACAGACAGAGATCACAAGTAGGCAGAGAGGCAGGCAGAGAGAGAGGAGGAAGCAGGCTCCCCGCTGAGCAGAAAGCCCGATGCGGGGCTCGATCCCAGGACCCCGAGACCATGACCCGAGCCGAAGGCAGAGGCTTTAACCGACTGAGCCACCCAGGCACCCCTGGTTTGTACTTTCTAATATTGAAGTTATAGTCAGAAAATGAGAAGGAAAAAGGAATACAGGATGAAAAAAATGTTAATTTTCTCTTGAATCATTTTGCATCCTGTAGTGAAACATGAAAAATGAATATATATCAGTAAATGTGCTATCATTTAGAGGTTCTGAAGGAATAAAATAAATCATCATTTTTAACAATAGCAACAAAATATTAATAATGGCAGCCATAATTTGCTGACAACTATGTTGTGGCCATTTATGCTCAGGGCTTGCTATACATCAATGTGTTTAGTCGTTGCAATACGCAAAATGGCAGGCATTTTATTGCCTCCGATTTACAGATGAGATAACTGAGGCTTGCCAATCTTTAGAGATTGTCCATGGTCACACACTAGTAAGGGGTGAAGTTGGGATATCAGGCCAGGTATCACTTACTTCAAAGCCCATGTATGTTCTTTCCACTAACTACTATCCAGTAAGGCTTTATGGCATTTGTTGTATTAATTTTGCAACTTTCCTATACACCTGCCAATTTCCAAAAAAATAACTTAAGGAGGGGGAAAAAAAGAACATTTTTATACATGTATCTTTGTGTTCTGTGCGCCAACTTTCTCTAGTGCAGATACCTAATTGCTGGGTCCTAAGGTATGCATTATGTATCTTCAAGTGTACTACAGTGAGCTAAACCCCTCCCAAGTAGGTAACATTTTGCAATTTCTACCATCAGTGTCATTGTTCCTCATCCATATCAACACTGCCAGTATTTTTATTTTGAGCTAATATGGTGGATACAAGGTAGAACCTCATGAGGGTTTAATTGCATTTCTTGGATTATTAAAGAAGTTGAGAACTCTTAGGGTTACTGACCATTTTTATTCCCTCTTCTGTGGAAAAGTCTACTGAAGTTATTTTGCCTGTTTTTCTCAGATTGGATTGTCTTTTTACTAATTTGGGTGTTTTTATATATCCCGGATACTAATATTTTATCAATTATATGTACAGCCAATATAGTCTCTCATTGCATAGCTATTTGTCTTCTTTTTTCTTTTTTTAAAGATTTTCTTTATTTATTTGACAGACAGAGATCACAAGTAGGCAGAGGCAGGCAATGAGAGAGAGGGAAGCAGGCTCCTTGCTGAGCAGAGAGCCCAGTATGGGGCTTGATCCCAGGACCCTGAGATCATGACCTGAGCTGAAGGCAGAGGCTTAACCCACTGAGCCACCCAGGCGCCCCACTATTTGTCTTCTTTATGTTATCTTTTGATGAAGAGATATTCTTAATTTTACCAAATATATAATTTTTGACTACAGACTTTTATGGCATACAAGAAATCTTTCAATACATTGAGGTCATGAAGACAAGAGTGTTTATACATACATACATATATAAAGCATATGTATATGTATGTGTGAGTATGCTTTAAAGTTTTATCTTTTACATTTAAGTCTGTATCCATTTGGAGTTTTTTGCATATGGTGTAAGGTATGCATCCAATTCCTTTTCTTCCTTTCCCCCCATATGGAGCTGTCGATTGTTCCAGTACCACTTATGGAAAAGGTTGGCTTTGACCATTATGCTGAAATGTCACTTCTGTCATAAATCAAGCATCTCTTTATGCTTGTGTCTGTATCTTGTGTTTCTATTCTTTCCCATCAGTCTGTGTGTCTATCTCTGATCAGTACCACAGTGTCTTTTTAGTAAGTCTTGGGATGTAGTGGAGCATGTCTTTTTACTTTTGTCTTCAAGAATTAGCTTAACCATGGGATGCCTGGTTGGCTCATTTGGTTGAGTTGCTGCCATAGGCTCAGGTCATGATCCTGAGGTCCTGGGATCGAGTAATGCATCGGGCTCCCTGCTCAGCAGGGAGCCTGCTTCTCTCTCTGACTCTGCCTGCCACTCTGCCTGCTTGTGCTTGCTCTTTCCCTCTCTCTCTGACAAATAAATAAATAAACAAAATCTTAAAAAAAAAAAAAAAGGGAATTAGCTTACCCATCCTTGGCTCTTTATACTTCCCTATACATTTTTTTTTAAGATTTTACTTATTTATTTATTTGTCAGAGAGAGAGAGGGAGAGCACAAGCAGAGGGAGTGGCAGGCAGAGAGAGAGGGAGAAGTAGGGTCCCTGCTGAGCAGGGAGCCCGATGAGGGGCTCAATCCCAAGAACCTGGGATCATGACCTGAGCTGAAGGCAGACACTTAACTGACTGAGCCACTCAGGCATCCCTTCCCTATGTGTTTTAGAATCACCTTATCAAGTTCCAAGAGGAAAAAAAAGGACAAAAAACTGTTAGGGTTTTTGACTGAGATTGCATTGACTCTATAGACTGCTTTGGGTGTTTTTATAATATTTGGACCCCCAGTCCAGGAAACCATATAGCATATGAGGATCTAGAGTAAAGCATGGGGACTATAGTTGATAATACTGTATTGTATAAGTAGAATTTGCTAAGACAGTAGAACTTAAATATTCTCACCAAAATAACTAAATGAAGATAAACAGGTGTATTAATTATGCAGGGGGAGGAAACCCTTTCATAAGCCATATGTATATCAAAATCACTGGGATGTACACTTTAAATATCTCACAATTTCCTTTTTTCTTTTTTAATTTAAATCCAATTGATTAACATATATTATTGGTTTCAGACATAGAGGTCAGTAATTCATCAGTCTTATATAATACCCAGTGCTCATTACATCACGTGCCCTCCTTAATGTCCATCACTCTGTTACCCCATCCTCCCACCCCGCTCTACCCTTTAGCAACACTGTTTCCTATGATTAATAGTCTCTTATGGTTTATCTCCCTCTCTGATTTCCTCTTGTTTTATTTTCTTCTCCCTTCCCCTATGATCCTCTGCTTTGCTTCTTAAATTCCACGTATGAGTGAGATCATTTAATAAAAGCCACTAAAACAAATGAAATCTTGCAGAGCACCTGGGTCGCTCGGTCCGTTAAGCATCTGCCTTTGGTTCAGGTCATGATCCCAGGGTCCTGGGATGGAGCCCTGTATTAGGCTCTTTGCTCAGTGGGGAGCCTGCTTCTCCCTCTCCCTCTGCCTCCCTCTCTCTGTCTCTCATGAATAAATAATCTTTAAAAAAAATGAAATCATGAGAAAATATGGACGCTGAGAAACAAACTGGGAGTGGGGATGAGGGGATGGGTTAGCACGGTGGTGGGTATTAAGGAGGGCATGTATTGCATGGAGCACTGGGTGTTATCCACAAACAATGAATCATGCAACAATACATCAAAAACTAATGAGGTACTGTATGGTGAGTAACATAACATAATTTAAAAAAGCAACAAAAAAAGAAATCTTGCCATTTGCAATGATGTAGATGGAACTAGAGGATATTATGCTAAGCAAAATAAGTCTATCTTACAATTTCCTTTGTCAATTATACCTCAATATAATTGAGATATAGAAAAAAAAAGAAAGGGAACATAATAAAAAGTATGTATTCCTAACACTAGCTTTTAAAGGCTAATCTTCTTTAGATATGTGTGGGCCAAGGCTATTTAAGTTTTGCCCTTCCCCTTCCCCAAGAATTCTAAATCCTACAAATACAGCCTGTTTCCCCCCATATCTGCTTATTTTCCTCTCTACTTCTGAGATGACAGCTGTAAGATAAAATGCTACATTCTACTGACGCATCATTATTATACTCAATCCAAGCACTCAGGAGACCTGAAAGATATGTGGCTCCAAGGATATGAAAAATA